TACATAAGTTTCAAAAGCATTACCTTCCTATCAAACGTTAGACTTTTTTATGACACAATTCAGCTCCAGGACTTTCAAAATACTATATCAATAAACCGTGAAATTACTTATTAGCGACATAAACTGGACAAAGTATCAAATTATTAGAATTTTTATTGTTGAAGTGACGATTCTGATTGCCGTTTTTATTTCGGATTCTATGGGGGGTAATCTGAAAAGGTAGACGTAGCACTATTCTAGGTGGGAGTTATGTCTAAGGTTATGAACAGACATAGATCTCATACGCTAATCAGCTGTTCACGCGAATACATGTCAAAGGTGGTGATGTTGTAGAAAATAGGTTATCTGTCTATCAAATCTTTTTCCCGTCTACAATTAAAAAAAATGGAAAAAAGGTCCAAAAAATGATTTTCGGGGCATAAAGGTACCATTCCTAGCGAAGATAGCTGCGGGAGACCGCGATCAATGATCAGTCTGATGCCAAAGAGAAGACTGGTGGCATAACGCATACAGGGTGTCGCATCCATGCAACATTGCTTCTAAACAGGAATTTTCTTAGAAAATATGGATGGTATATGGGGCATATCTATACATAGTTTCCTAATATCCCATAGGCATAGATGTACCAACTATTTTTAGACTTAAGATAAGCGGATTGCAAAATGAATTACCTATATGAAAAAGTGCTTCGTCTGTCCGTTAGAGGGCGTCAAAGTTTCCTTTTAAAACACACTTCTTCAGATATTTTTGGAGCCGATAGTCGGATTTGAATGAAAGGAACACATGTGTTTTGCTACACGTCCTAATATTAGACTTTTACAAAAAACTCGAAAGCGTTTGAAATTATTGTAGAATTTTTTCGGGTAAGACACGTTAGCGCATATCCCAAATATTTAATTTCTTATTTTAAAATGGAAAATTTTTATGTAACTTTTACAAAAATATCATTTTTTCTTTAAGGAACCCTCTGCTTGCTATTTTATAGAACTTCAAGGTTGCATTTTTTGGTGCTCAAGAATATAATACTGTTTTTTACACTGCTTTTTAGGCTTTTTGCATAAAAAGATGCTGTAAAATATAAGAATATAACATACACTGTATGGTACTAAGGAAAATAGATGTGAAATTGTAAACAAACATTGGTTCTTCAAAGAAATAGGTTAAAAACAAGCGGTATAATAAGCTATAATGACAGTTCCAAATACATACCTCAAATGATGGTAAGACTATACTTTGGCACACAAATGCCGAAATTCTTGTTTTTTCATAAAGAATTGGAGAAATCAGCAGAAATAATAATTTTTCAAGCAAAATAGATGTGAAACTATAAGAAATCGTTGTTTTTGCAAAAAAAGGTTCAAGGTGTAATAAGCTAAAATAAGAGATCAACATACATACCGTAAATAATGGTATTTACTTGGAAAACTGTGTAGTGTGTAGTAGTGTTGTGATTTTTCAATGTCTTCCTGAAATTCCTTAAAGATTTTCTTTTCGCGTATTTTCAATGAGATCAAAGCTTTTGCGCTTATCAGAAATATTTGGAAGTACAAACAATTCTTAATAGCCATTTTATATCGTTTATTTCTCGACAGTTAGGATAAATAATGATATCCATTGCTGCCAAGTTGTACATTTTGGGAGAAATGCGTAATAAAAAATGAAGTTATTTGCAAAATAAAAGTCTTAATTTATTCTAAGTGGCTTGTTTCATAAGAAGTTGTCCCAATATTTACTGAAAATTGGATGAAATTTTGAACAGTATGTCTCTAAACAGTGAAAAATGCACCAGCGGCTCACGTAAAAAAAAATACAAATGCACCAGCGGTCACTACATATAAAAATACCCAAATTCGATTCGTCGATTTGGACTCCGTCGCCAGGTCCACCCAAAATATAATCGCCCAGCAGTATAGTTAATAGAGATCTACGACCATTCCATCAAATCATCAAAAAACTCTTTGTTGTGTTTTCATTATTTAGTGACTGGCAACAGCTAGTTTCTCGCTAATTTCTCATGTATCACATTAAATTAGGTATATTTTGTGACATCAGCTTCACTTTAAATAATTCTTCAAGTACATACATACAAAAAGTAAATAGATTACAACTATAATATAGGAAAAACAATAACCGAAGTATTTTTTGAAGGGCATACGGCATTCTTTAGAAAAGTGTCTATAACTAACACTATTGTAAGGTACGAGGTCAATTTAGTACAGTAAAACCAACCGGCCACACCTCCATATCGCATTTTCATGGCAATCCTGTGCCGATTGCGCATTTTTGCGCTAGTTGTATAAGTAAGAATTTGACAAACCAAATCAAGGTATATTAGTATCCGTGGTTTGGCATCACTGCAACTAGATAGAGAAATCATTATAGTGATGGGAATATTTATCTGAAATGAAAGAAGTGACTTCTTAACAATGATCTACTTTCATCATTAAAATAATGCAAAATTGCATAATTGCGATGAACAGTGCCACAATGACATACAGTGTATGTTACATTCATATAATTTTTAGCATTATTTTGTGTAAGCAAGAAAAAAGCAGCTTATGAATCGGCATTCTATTCATCAGTGTTACCACCCAAAACGCAACTTTGAGGTGCTATAAAATAGCAATGCATCGGTTTCCTTGAAGAAAAAAATGATATTTTAGTATAAGTTACATTCTAATCTTTCATTTTATAATAAGAATAGAATTATTTGCGATATGCGCTTTTTTGCAACTCTCAGAACGACTTTCTTATTTAAAAGACCCTTCTATTTACTATAAGTTTTGTCTCTTATAAAATCAAGTCAACTCGCTCAGTTTTAAAGAAAGAAATGCTTTTCTATGAGGGTGCGGAAAGTATCTATCTTCAACACACCACTGAGTGCAGAAAGTAGCACTTTCCCACATGCATAACAGTGCTACTTTCTGCACGCAGATGCGTGTTGAAAGTAAGTACTTTCCGCACTTGTTAGGTAAATAACTATTTCCGAAGATGTTTTCTTAAAAATGTTCTTGTTACATCAAGAGTTAAACCTGGGGAGGATCAAACCACTAATAAGGCGCTAGAGCTGCTTTCGCGGAAGTCCTTAATTTATCTCGTGGCAATAGTCAATGCCATGCTAAGGACCCAGTACTTCCCATCCGCGTGGAAGACCGCTGAAGTTATAATGATTCCACAGAAGGTGGGTTCGATATTTCCCCAGGATTATCGTCTCATTAGCCTTCTGTCAGCTCCATCTAAGCTCGCTGAAAAGGTGATTCTACATCACCTTGAGAACTTATCGTTAGATCACCATGTGATTCCTGACGTGCAATTCGGTTTTCGGTCTGAACATAGTACGGAGCTACAGGCGGTTAGGCTGGTGGAACGAGTAACTCCTCTAGTTGAATCCTCAGTCACCCTTAACGAAAGTACTGTCATCTTGCTTTTGGATGTCTCAAAAGCATTTGACAAGGCGTGGCACGCGGGCCTCCTGTATAAACTAATCCAAAACAGCTTCCCTTTTTGGCTTCTGAGACTACTGAAATCCTTCCTTGAAGGTAGGAAATTTCGGATCAAAATTGACAACGTCCTGTCTACAACACGGCTGATTACAGCCGGCAGCCCTCAGTGTTCGGTCCTTGGCCCTATCCTTTACTCACTTTACATCCATGATGTCTATAGCCCCTGCAACTGTGAAGTCTATCTCTATGCTGACGTTACTGCATTGGTGGCTCAGTCGTGGTCTGGTGACCTAGTCCATCACAGGCTGCAAAGTGCGGTGGAGGAAGTATTAGATTGGGCGGATCGGTGGCTAATTAAAATTAACCATTCGAAAACGCAGGCAATCGTGTTTGCAAACGTTCAAAATTGTTTGAAAATAAGGTCACACAAATATCATTTATTTGCAAATTAATTTGACCGGGTATGGTTCACTTAAGGTAGCGTTGGCATTCTATTGCGTTCGCTTCTTGATAGGTACAACAAAGGGAGGTTTGATTTGGTCTTGACCGGATTTGTTGCGCCTCTAGTATTTAGTCGTTTGTTTGCATTCGATGAGAGGAGAATCGTCGCTCGACATTAGCACCGAACTTAACCCAACGCGGTCCAACTCGAAAGTAAATTAAGGTGTAGATGACGTGTAGACGAGCGCATTCCAATAACAAACGCCAACGTCACATGTGCTCGGCGTGGGATTTTCGGTCTGTACGCGGCTTTAGAAGAACTGTCGCTAAATGTGATAAATGACATATTTTTTATTCACGATTGTGCTTCACCTCACTTTGAGTGTACTGTAAGAAATTTCCTGAATGAAAAATTTGATGTTAGATGGATTCGTAAAGGTCAAGAAGCTCCCATTCAATGGCCACCTCGTTCCCGGATCTTAATACCTGCGATTTTTTTTTATATGACGAGCATTAGAAACAAAGGTATATGAGGTTCAGATAAATAACACCAATTAACTATTCTGCAAATACATTAAAGAATAATGACAGATTAGGAAACGTTAACTTTAATGATAGTCATACTGAACACCTTCTATGAAAAATTCGCACTATTGCATGTACTAATTGAAACTATAATAAGTTTTACCATACTTGTTTATTTTAGCTCACTCACTCAAAGAACTAATAAGAGTAGCCTGTGATGAGCTAGATAAAAAGAATTACAACTGCCAAAAAATTCTGCTGTAATTCGTGTAGGGGTAGAGGTAGTTTCTACCCTTCTCGAACTCTAAGAGCCTTATGGTCAGTCGTTCAATTTTAGGACGTCTAGAACTTTTAGATTTCTACTGTTCCGAGTCAGCGTCAGCGCCCTCCTATTGTGAGGCTATGTTTTTTTGAATTCTACGAAATATCAGGCTAATATAACAACAGATGGTATAAATCAAAAGCATGAACAATTTGTTGCAATTAGAAATTTGTAACATAACCTCAAAGTGGAGCGCTGGCACGGAACAGTAGTAAACTATGAAAATCAAGGAGGCCATAAAGGCGTCCTACAATTGTAGGAACGACTGAGCCTACTTGCACACACAACGATTTTGGTCGGCCGGTAAAATATCGACCATTTTTTATCGGTAGGCTCTGCTTACATACGGTTTCTTACCGGTGCAGTGCTGATTTCCAATATTATTTTTAATGAATCCCCAACGAGTTGTTGCAATATGGTTACTATACCAGAGTATGAAGCGTCGTAGAATTAAGCGAAAGTTCTGGATTGATTTTTCTCTTTGGACACCATTTCTTTAAGATCCTCATTCAGTTCGCAGCAAACTTAGCTCCATGCTTCTCTAGTAGCCTTTCTGCCTTTAAATATGTCCAAAGTTGTATCCCATAAAACTGGTCTTGCTTCCACTAACGCAATAAGTATGTCATTATCGATTTTCATATCTTTATCCATTGCAAACGTATATGCAGTCGTAATCACGGCCATTAAGTAATAAGTGAGTGTGCAAGCTCCTGTTCAAACACGTATGCCTCTACAGGGTGTTCCTTAATGATATGCGAATATTTAAGGGTGTGAATCTACATGAAAAATTAGTTTGCTTTATAAACTATGATTCAAAAATGTTTCCTTACAAAAACTCGGAGTGTTGAAGTTTTAGGAAAAAAATGGAAATTAATTAATATTTTCAGAACGACCTCAGATATTTCACTGATATTTAGTACGTAGTGAAAGTTAATAAAGTTGCATATTTTTCAATGCAAATTCGATATTTTTAAGAAAAAAATGGTAGGCACGCCAATGGTTTTTTGCCAGATAAAACTTATTTTTGAATTCCCCGTACAATTTAAAACAAATGATCTCTCTTGCGTTGCTTTCCTTCGATGCGCCAGTTTTAAGTAAGAAAATAAAAATCGTTCTACTGGCCGAGAAAATTACTGTAATATAACTGAAGAATGCAATTTAGCAATAAATATCTAGTTGCTCTTGAGTATGTCACTGGCTCAGTTATTCAAATCTGTTCACTGTGACATCTTTTTCATTATTTAGTTTTTACAATCTTGTTAATAATGGTGAATTATTCAAATGCATAAGTGGCGGAAATACATTAGGTACGTATATGGCCTTGCCGACGGTAACGGTGAGCAAGTCAGACAGATTTATCTATCACCAGAGATATCCCGATCGTGCTTTGACAGATAGTCGAACCTTTTCTAATATTCATCGTCATCTTGTCGAAGAACATCCTGAAACGAGTACGAGGAAGATCGCTAGACACTTAAATATTTGCCATCAAATTGTTTGGAGAATTTTAGTGGATTTTTATTATATCATTAACATATTTTAAGAGTACAGGCATTACTTCCCATTGATTTTCCAAGGCGTGTGACCTTTTGTCAGTGGTATCTTCAAAAAAAATGTAAAAAATCCGCAATTTAAATCAACGATTCTGTTCACGGACGAAGCTAATTTTTCTCGAAATGCCATACAGAATGTCCACAATAATCATTTGTGGGCAGAAGAAAATCCCTATGCCGTAACCGGAACCCATCTCCAACACCAATTTTCGGTTAACGTATGGGCAGGAATTATTGGCAAAAACTTTATTGGTCCATTCTTCTTGCCGGACGACTTGACGGACAGACCTACCTCAATTTTCTTCAACAACAACTGCGTTTGCTGCTTGATGATGTTCCGTTAGTAATAAGAAATAATATGAGGTACAATGCATGATGGTGCACCAGCGCATTTCAGTGTAGCGGTTCATGATTATTTACAAACTGTTTATCCAACTCGTTGGATTGGCCGCGGTGGGCCCCAAGAATGGCCACCAAGGTCCCCAGATCTCAACAGTTTAGATTTCTTTTTGTAGGGCTATCTTAAGACACTAATGTACACAAGTCTCATTAACACTGTAGAGGAATTTAGAGAAAGAATAGTTGCAGCTTGTGATAGAATAAAAAACACTCCACAGGGATATTTCAACGTGTGCGCAATTCCATGAGAAGCAGGGCGGAAGCATGCATACTAAGTGAAGGGGGCCATTTTCAACAATTTTTGTAATCATTTCGGTGGTTTTAATGTTATGTTTATGTTGTCTGTTGTTGTTGTTCATTACCCTTATGTGTTTAATTTTTCTTATTATATTAATAATAATTTTGCGAGTTAGACAATAGAACCGTTTTTGTTTTTTACTCAAAAATGGCGCATCGAAAGAAAACGATTCAGGAGTTATCATTTGTTTTAAATTGAACGGGAAATTAAATAATAATTTTTATTTGGGAAAAAAACTATTGGCGTACCATTTTTTTCTAAAAAAGGTCGAAGTCAATACCTGTGCGCACGCCACTGTTAAAGCTAGAAATTATTTTTGCATTTAAAAAATATTTACTCCCAGTACGTACTAAATATCAGTGAAATATCTCAAGCGGTTCTGAAAATATTAGTTAATTTCCATTTTTTTCCTAAAACTTCAAAACCCCGAGTTTTTGTAAGGAAACCTTTTTGGATCATAGTTTATAAAGCAAACTAACATTAATTTTTCATGTAGATTCACACCCTTAAATATTCGCATATGATTAAGGAAGACCCTGTGTATTCCCGATACCGGCGCATCACAGTGACAATGTCCGGATGCTAACCGGCTTTTTTCCGGTGCCGGTCGGTAGTCGGCCAGTGTGCAAGCTTCAATGCCCTCCAATGGTTTACTATTAAAATGTGGTCGGCCGATATTTTACCGGCCGACCAAAATCGGTGTGTGTACAAGTAGCCTGCGATACGACCCTTGGAGTTTTTCGTGAAAGTCAAATATTAGGACGTCTAGCAAAACATCTGCTCCAAATTTCATTCAATTCGGACTATGGGTTCATTGATTAGCTTGAAAAATATGTTTTAAAAAGAAAACATGTCCAATCGACTTATTTTGAGTCTAAAAATACGTGGTATTTCTACGTCCAAAAAATTTTGACCCGCATACCACAGTTGATATAACATGAGAAAACATTAAAGCTTGACAGCTGCCAAGCAGCACGAAACAGCTGTCCGTGGTTGGTCATCTGTGACCAGTATCGACGGTATCTAGCGGTCACAGTAAGGACCCGACTATGAAATATGAACTGGGATACAAATCCAACAGACAGCTTGCAATTTCACTCTGGCACTGGTCGATTCTGCTAATTGAATAACTTTAATTGAAAAGTTTCTGTTTAGAACGGATATTCCGCCCCGTATGCATGGGAGGTAATGTATACTGAACAACTGTCACTGTTAATCTTCTGCTGTCAGATATCAAAAATCAAATCTAAATTAGTATGTAATAAGCGTCATGTGCATCGTCACCTATTGCTTTCCATTGTTTTTTAAGTTTGGGTTGGAGAATTTCACAGTGACAGTATCTCACCGTTTCCTAAACACGCGTGCACCTTTGCACTATATCGACACGAAAAATATAAATTGAAGACTAACCGTTATTAACACCGATGGAGCACCTGCCTGCCTATCTCCCGCACTATTGGCACCAGTGGCGACGCGTGACTTTTCCTAAACTGTTACCGAAACCAGATGTGAAAAATCTTATTAAAAAAAGTTTATTTTGAACCTCCTAAATATAAGTTTTTGCTGATTTTAGGTATTTATTTGAACTATTTTTAAAATTAAGGTAAACATTCCTGAACTGAGCGTTTGGAGCACATCATCTTATGCTATGACCAATCCAAGCCGTCCGAAAAAAACAGTCGATTTTTCTAGAAATTTTTTATCTTTTTGGCAATGAATGTTAAAAATCTTGGTTTTGTTATAAGAAACAGTAGACATTTCAATAATACTAATTACATTAATTTTACTTTTTAATGCTTTTGTCAGATCTATTTTGAATATTGTTCGATTATCTGGTACCGGGCCTATGATATACACTGTAAAAACATCGAGAGAATCCAACGTCGTTTTGTGAAATACTTATGGTTTAAAGATGATAGAGCGTACCCTAACAGGGGTATACGCAATGACATTCTCTTAAGTAAATATAATTTACATAATTTAGTCAAACGTATGAATCTGTTAGCTGCTAAATTTTTATGTAATTTGTTGAATGGAACAATTGATTGCCCTTTTGTTCTAGACAGGATCTCTCTACGGGTTCCCGATTTGCGTACTCGTCATGGTGGTAACAACTCATTTTATTTACCTGTTCCGCGGACAAATTTATTGTTATTTTCGCCTCTTTATGTTATGTGTAACGTGTGTGACAGTGTAAGTGAACTTGATACCTTTAGTTCGATCTCAAGAGGTGTTTTTTAACAATTGGATAATTTATATTTATGTCTTTTCTATCATGTACTGTTTAGAGTTTTGTTTTTGTATCATTTTTGTTTTTTCCCTGCCTGTTAATTGGATCACTCTGTTCAGGCAGTGTATGGATCAGTATAAATAAATAAAAATCCCTGTAATTTCCTCTATTGTCAGAGTCATCCCCTTCAAAATGAACGGTAATATCTGTTTTGCCAAACAACATACGGTACCTAGAAGTGTGCTGCCTAAAAGCTTGGTTAAAACAACTTTCGGTTGTTGTTTTGCCAAACTGAGTTAAATTGGCTACACATCTCACATGTAACGGAGAAATTTGATGTCTCCTTTTAGAGCCCTTAAACTATTTAAATCGTTGACTCCGCTGCTGGTCCACCCATTTTTTTTGTATAAAACAGAAGACATCGCCAACAATACAATTTGTTTTTTGCAGCCACATAATCAAAAGTTTCCATATACCAACTTAATTGAAAATATCAAACTACGTTTCTTTATTCCTTTTTAAAATTATCTAAAATAGGTGTTGGTCTTCCATTTTCAATGATCTCCTTTTCTTCTTAAAAATTCTACAAGGAGAATGATTTTTCAAGTAGTTGATCGGTTACGCAGCGACAGCCATCCATGTTCAATTGCACGCACACTTCAGCCGGTAACCAAAACGGCTACTACGAGTGAAAAGACTGAGAAGTGAGTAACCAAACAAAAAATGGTAACAAGCCCACATGATAGTCGCAGCGCCCCACGCACTCGGGCGACCGCGATAAGACACGAGCCGGTTGCGACGGTCCCCGACGGACTACCAAGTGTATCCATAAATGAAAATGGTAACAACCGACACCAAATCGAGGCGAGTCAGCTTCATCGTGTTCACAAAACCTGGACGCTATAGGGCGCATTATTTTCGTGGGGCTTGTTGTGGCCGACTTGTTTTACTTTGTAGTTTTTAGACGTGGCAACAATGTAAGTTGAGTATTCAGCATTCGCATATCTAACCGCCGACGTTTATGTACGTGCTCTGGGAAAAATACAAAGCTTGTGAACAAAATCGTGTATTAAACCCC